TTTTAAATTTAGTTTAAAGTGCATTAGTGAAGAGCATTCCAACAGTACTGACCAAACTTTTTAAGAAAATGGAAGCTAGCTCATAGCAAGAATATAGCATGGGCAGTATCCACCGGAAACCCTGACAATGTTCATATGTGCAAATTTTTATAAAAGTGGAATAAAAATTTTTAAGATCCAGTAGGTCACAAATACAAAACAAGTAATAAATATGTTGCCTTAATACATGTATATACAGTCAGGTCCATAAATATTGGGACATCGACACAATTCTAACATTTTTGGCTCTATACACCACCACAATGGATTTGAAATAAAACAAACAAGATGTGCTTTAACTGCAGACTGTCAGCTTTAATTTGAGGGTATTTACCTCCAAATCAGGTGAACGGTGTAGGAATTACAACAGTTTGCATATGTGCCTCCCACTTGTTAAGTGACCAAAAGTAATGGGACAATTGGCTTCTCAGCTGTTCCATGGCCAGGTGTGTGTTATTCCCTCATTATCCCAATTACAATGAGCAGATAAAAGGTCCAGAGTTCATTTCAAGTGTGCTATTTGCATTTGGAATCTGTTGCTGTCAACTCTCAAGATGAGATCCAAAGAGCTGTCACTATCAGTGAAGCAAGCCATCATTAGGCTGAAAAAACAAAACAAACCCATCAGAGAGATAGCAAAAACATTAGGCGTGGCCAAAACAACTGTTTGGAACATTCTTAAAAAGAAGGAACGCAGCTGTGAGCTCAGCAACACCAAAAGACCCGGAAGAACACGGAAAACAACTGTGGTGGATGACCGAAGAATTCTTTCCCTGGTGAAGAAAACACCCTTCACAACAGTTGGCCAGATCAAGAACACTCTCCAGGAGGTAGGTGTATGTGTGTCAAAGTCAACAGTCAAGAGAAGACTTCACCAGAGTGAATACAGAGGGTTCACCACAAGATGTAAACCATTGGTGAGCCTCAAAAACAGGAAGGCCAGATTAGAGTTTGCCAAACGACATCTAAAGAAAGCCTTCAGAGTTCTGGAACAACATCCTATGGACAGATGAGACCAAGATCAACTTGTACCAGAGTGATGGGAAGAGAAGAGTATGGAGAAGGAAAGGAACTGCTCATGATCCTAAGCATACCACCTCATCAGTGCAGCATGGTGGTGGTAGTGTCATGGTGTAGGCATGTATGGCTGCCAATGGAACTGGTTCTCTTGTACTTATTGATGTGACTGCTGACAAAAGCAGCAGGATGAATTCTGAAGTGTTTCGGGCAATATTATCTGCTCATATTCAGCCAAATGCTTCAGAACTCATTGGACGCCGCTTCACAATGCAGATGGACAATGACCCAAAGCATACTGCAAAAGCAACCAAAGAGATTTGTAAGGGAAAGAAGTAGAATGTTATGCAATGGACAAGTCAATCACCTGACCTGAATCCGATTGAGCATGCATTTCACTTGCTGAAGACAAAACTGAAGGGAAAATGCCCCAAGAACAAGCAGGAACTGAAGACAGTTGCAGTAGAAGCCTGGCAGAGCATCACCAGGGATGAAACCCAACGTCTGGTGATGTCTATGCATTCCAGACTTCAGGCTGTAATTGACTGCAAAGGATTTGCAACCAAGTATTAAAAAGTGAAAGTTTGATTTATGATTATTAATCTGTCCCATTACTTTTGGTCCCTTAACAAGTGGGAGGCACATACGCAGACTGTTGTGATTCCTACACCGTTCACCTGATTTGGATGTAAATACCCTCAAATTAAAGCTGACAGTCTGCAGTTAAAGCACATCTTGTTTGTTTCATTTCAAATCCATTGTGGTGGTGTATAGAGCCAAAAATGATAGAATTGTGTTGATGTCCCAATATTTATGGACCTGACTGTATTTATTTGCACATCTATTAACCTCTTTGCAGGTATACATTTTATTTTATACCTACACTCTTCCCTTGTTTTTATATATACAGTATCTGGCACCCACTAGGTTATGCTAGTGTAAGGTAAATTTATTTTTGGCTCATGGTAGTGAGTGAACCTGAATTTCTGTGAGGTCAGGCTGGATAACTCAACAGGTTTGGACTCTTATCGCCTCAACCTGGTTCTGGAGGTCCATGGAAATTTCCAAAAGCCAGTAGGAGACAGGGTGGAGACCTCAAGCTGCATATTCATGGGAGTCTGACCAATCCCAGGCTAAAAAGCCCTGGTAGTGTGGTAGACTAGCCCATAAATATGAAAGAGCCATGCTAGCAGAGGAGTCGGTTGGAAGATGGATTGCTGAGAGGTGTTGCTCTGTGGCCTGGGAGGGAGTCCCAGGGGAGGAGGGTTCTGCTTCCAGGCTGGACACTAAGAAGGTGAAAGAGGGAGCTCCACTGGCCTGCCATCCACCAGGAAAGGATCGCCTGCAAAGCTTGGAGAGGAATCAGCCCGGCTAGAAGGCCTGAAAGCAGTTCTATCCACAGCTGCAGGATAAGAACAGTGTGAGTACCTCTACACCCCCAGAACGTAGAAGGGAGAGGTCAGCTGGATGTAAGTTCTGGCAAGTCTTCAGGGGACAGTTCGCAGCTTACCCAATCTCTTTTCCTGGGATCAGATACCGTAAACAGGTGGGCTGGTCTTCTGTGCACTACGGAGACCAAGAGCTCTAACACATTGTCACATGTCTAGAAATCCACTCAGGGGACACCAAGCTCCTAGAAGAGGACTACGTTACTAAGGACTGTAATGGTTCTGGCTAGAATGCAGTCAAGTGTCTGTTGTTTTTTTACAAAGTGTGCTAGAGCAGGACACATCCTAATTCTGCTATTTCTAAAAACAAATTGAGCATCCCATAACCCCTTTACCCTATCCAAGTTTAATCCCTTAATAAAAACAACAAAACCACGCTCAAGGACTATTCATTGACACCAGTGTGCAAAATTTGAAAATGCTTGTTGCCTGGTGATGCAGAGCATAGGGGGACCCAATTCAAATCCAGCAGCCCCTAAGGGAGTATCGCTACATATATATTGTGAACAAGCAGGATATTTAATGCAGAAGAGACATGCTAGGTCTCCTCTGCATTAAAGTTACTTACCTGCCTGTCCGCATGTGCAGCTTGGTGTGTCGGCAATGCTGAGATGGCTGAACTCCTGGTCATGTGCAGGATTAATGTCATCGTGGCCCGGCAAATGATAGTTGCCAGGGATCGATACCTGGAAGCTGCCAGGCCCAAGATGTCAGTGGCAGCAGATATTGCAGCGCTGGAGAGAAGGTGAGTATAGTTCTGCTTTAAGGTAAAAAAAAAAATCTCTACACTCACTTAGGCAGGCTGTTTTAAAACATCAGTCCATGGAGGTTTGTAACACAAGAGTGTTACCTAATCCTCATTGTATGCAATAAAATGCCTTTGCAAACTCAATTATTACCCTGTAAAAGCACACACACTAATTGCCTTTTTGTATGCTATGCCCCTTCTTTTTAGGTTGTAAGCTCACAAGCAGGGACCCCCTTAACCATCTTACGTTCTATCTGTATTGTCTCCCCAAAATTATAAAGCATTGTGCAAACTATGGAAGCTGTATTATAATAGCCTGTAAAGAATTGTGGAAGGAACACATCATGCTGCAGGAAACTAGAGGAGGGGACAGATACAGGACCAATCATCACTAATCTGCACAAGGAGATAGCTCACAGTAGGAACTGATTTTTTTTTTTTCCCCCAGAAGCTCCTGCACAAATGCAAAGTTACACACTGGATTACTGCACAAATGTGGAAGAAATGCACAAAGCACACCAAGATTCAACTAAGAATACATATGCCTTATATTGCCAAAAATGTTTTTCCCAACGTTCCACTTTAATTCTCAAGTAGTCTTAACACAAACCAGGGACCCCTCCCCCATATTCAGGATGGTTTTATACTTAAATAATTCACTCTATGGTAACCCCTTACATTAGTTTCTCACTTTTTGTTTCCATTCCATTTCCATTAATTGTTGACTTCCATAGTTCAATACAGCTAAATAACAATGATCGAATTTGTTGTCATAAAAAAGAATGTTATAGATGCAACTAATGCTGTATATAACTAATATGTGGTACAGCAACATGCTAGATAGAATAATCCCAATACCCATCATAATATGGGTGATCCACATGACCTAGTACCATCTTGCAGTGATCAGAACATCTTGTCTCATAAGCTGGGAAAAATGAACCAGGGTTTATGATACAAACACATTCAGTAAGGGAGTGCAAACAGTATGGCAGCCCATACATTGATCATTTTTGTTTTTTGCTCAACCAGCGTGTTGGGGGGGAAAAAAAAAAATCTGGTACCCCCCATTCACATATTTGAGATGGATGGGTGAATCCTTCCCACTATGGTATTCTGACAGCAGGGAGCCTTCCCCACCATCAGAATACAATGATTAGTATTGCTGGCTATTGTCAGCAGCACTGGTCGTTCAAGAAAAAACCCAACAGGCTGGTTGTAGACAAGTTGATCCATACATGGATCAAAATTCAGCCAGTCCCTGCTGAACTGGATAATTTTCAACCCATGTATGGCTGGCTTTAAGTGAGAATATAAGAGCAGCTTTAAGAGTGATTTTATAATTTAAAAATGTAGCGCTGCAGTGACATTTTAATTTTCTGAGGTCCGTTTAATAACAGATGACTTAACTGGCTGTGAGATTTTTTGTTCCTCTTTGCCTTCTGGTGTATTTTTTTCAACCTTACAGCATTGTGAGCTGTTAGTTTGCATTAATGTATATACAAACTTATAAATTCAGTGTATTAAGTCATCCATTTGAATATTTAAAGCCGTGAATATTTCATAAAATTCCTTGTTTAATAAATCTATTTCTCCCAAGATATACACAAAATATGCATCCAAAATATGAAGTTTTCTTTGAAGTGGCATCTCCAAAGGTGTGTATAGATTTTACAGAATGGACACATTATATGGGTTAAGTTATATCTGTTTTCACTAAGTAATTTACAGGGTCACTTGGAAAGTTTGCTTATTACTCGAATCAAGGCTCCATTTTCATCTTTCAGACGCTGGTTATCAGATTTTAGGTCTGTAACAACCTGCAACAGAAGTATAAAAATCAGGTGGTGTAATGAATCACAGCAGTGAAGAATTATTGCACAAAGGTTTTGAGGTCACATAAATATATATTTTGTCAAATTTATAAGTCTAAAGTAGGAATTCTCTTAGCCAGTCTGTGCTGCCCCAGGGCAACAAGTAGAAGTCTTACTTTTTTTTTTTTTTTTTTTTTTTTTCTTTTTTGCAAAGAGAATTTGATTGCGAGCTAGGCATATCATTCTGTCTAAGAACATTCTTTGTTTACAAACAATATCTGTATACCAAAAAATAAAAGCTTGTCCCACAAAGGGATTTTCCAGACCAAAATAAAACTGGATCATGCTTCTCACACTGCACAAATGTCTTTTGAGTACGTGAAAATATCCTTTGATTACATTGCATTAATCCATGTATGTTTATTTTGAGATTCTCTAAAGTATGATTTAATATGGTGCTATGCACACAGTATATGGCCTACCACAGATATTATACAGTTGCAAAATGACCAGGACCAAAAGCAATCTTTTATCCTCCAAAAAATAGACATTCACTCTTTTGTACTATGACAATACATGTGAATGTGCTCAACACACTTCATGACTTCAAAAGAAGTTAAGTTTGAGAAAGTATAGTTTTTTTTAGTGGTATACACTGATACCTAGTGCTTATTCATTTTTTTTTTTTTTAGTTTTATGCTCAATATCCTAGTGTGTTCATCACAAGAGTATTTGAAAGAGCAGCAGGGGTATCATAAGTGTATGGGGTGGAATCTGTGTCACAGTGATTTCAGAATACAGTTGATTGCACACTTCTATAATAACCTATTTCCCAAAAATAATCTACCTCAGCCATTACATTTTCCCCTGGAGACAGTGAGCCAAAGTCCCTAGTCTCCAGCAATATTTATGTTCTGCTGAAATAAGGACCAGATATGGGTATAGCATGATTGAAGCTTGTCAACAGGAAAATCCGTTTCCTATAGTTAAGGGACACAGGTAACGTTCCTCTGTGTTTATGGTCTTGCTGTCACTAAAAGGTAGTTATGTTTGGAAGCCAGTGGCTATAGCAGTGGAAAAGTGCAGGGTCTAAACACTAACTGGTCTTCACCAGAGCTCCTGATTGTATTGCTGCATGCTGCTGCCAGGTCGTTGTCCTCAGGATTGCTCCATCAGGTGGTGAGTAAGCCTGGGTGTGGTAGCAGCTAGGAAGGTAGCTAGAAAGAAAGTTTGTCCAAGGGACCATGCAGGGAACTGTCCAGTATCTCAGGTGGAGCAGCAAAGGTCCTGGGTTCAGATCCACTTCCTGACACTTGCTGTTGGCACTACTTTGTTACAAATTTGAGGCTTGCTGAGAGTGGGAGAGGTTATACCAGACTGGTCAACGTTTTTTGTTTTTTTGCCTGTGCACAAATCCTCCTGTAGGCGGTAGCATATCCTAAAATGCCTGTGAATCTCGTATCCCTCACCCAAGAAAGACTTGTCTCGGTATGAAAGCCACTTGACCGCTGAAGGTGTGCTGTAGTATCTGATTCTACACCAATAGTAGCAGATCCTTTAAGTCATGTAAGTTTTCGAGGTGGGTCCTCCATGGGTCTGGGGAATTTGAAAGCCAAGTTAACACTTCAAAACATGTTGTGTACATCAAAAAATTCTTGAACCATTTTTGCAGGGTGCATTATCCTTCTGAACAAGGCCATTGCCATCAGGGAATACTGTTTCCATTAAATGTGTCCTTGGTCAGCACCAATGTTTAGGTAGGTGGTACATGTCAAAGTAACATCCACATGAATGGCAGGACCAAGGTTTCCCAGCAGAACATTGCCCAAATCATCACATTGCTTCCGTTGGCTTGCCTTCTTCTCATACTGCATCCTGGTGCCATCTCTTCCCCAGGTATGTGATGCATACACACCCAGCCATCCACATGATGTAAAAGAAAACGTGATTCATCAGACTAGGCCACCTTCTTTCATTGCTCCAGGGTCCAGTTCTGAAGCTCACATGCCCATTGTAGGCGGTTTTGGCTGTAGACACAAGTCAGCATGGGCTCATTGACAGCTCATACACAACAAACTGCGATGTCCATTTTTTCTGATTTCAACACATGAGGGACAACGTTTACTTGCTGCCCAATATATCCACTGTCCTTCAGATGTCATTGCAACAAGATAATGTTATTCATTTTACTTATCAGATATCTCAATGTTATGGCTGATTGATGTACAATTAATACAAAAAAATCTATTTTTGTTCTAAAAAGTTTATCATCTTTGTTCTCAAAATTCTGTCTCAAACAAAGGTGCTTTTAGGTAAGGAAAAGACTGTCAGATAATGGAACTACAATAACAACATTTATAAATAGAAATCACTATTTGTTCTCACAAAAAAATACAGCAGCTTGTAATGTGATTAACCGTCTGTCTATCAATTTTTTCCCCATAAGATTACACATATTTTTCTCCTAACATTTTATTAGAAAAATAGGCGAATTGTCGGTGAAAACCTTAATATAGAGAACACTTGGTGTTTGTCATCATTTGGACCTGAAAAAAAACTACACCACATTTGGAAAGAGATGGTCAGCTCCTAGGACTTAAAGCAGAACTAAACTCTTATAATGGAGCTTTTGGGGCCCCCAGGAGCTCTTGCTATAATGGTATAAGGTATGCTCTGCATATTTACATGCTATGGCTCATTTAAAGAGCTCTCCTCCAGTGTTGCAATATTCATGTTCTCATCACTGGTACTTTAATCTTCTGGTCTCCTGGTGTTTTTGGCTGTCATGGTTGGCTGGGTTGGGATGATGCAACTCTTGTGCACGCACATGTGAGTTAGTTTATCCCGGCACCCACAGCATGCAGAGATTTACATAGCCGCTGCGCATGCAAGGTTTTGTGTACAATTGGAAAAAGGTATGCTATCAGGAAAGAAGCTTTTATGCAGAAGAGACGGGGAGGGAGCTGGGGGGGGGAGATCTGCACCAAGTTGTATATGCAAATTGATGTGGAGCATTGTGTACCTAATTAATAAAAATGGCACACGACACTTTCTTAATGTGTCGCATGAAATAAAAAATAGGCACAGCCATTGCTCCTCCAGTTTTCCATGTGACAGTTGCTTAATGTAAGTTGGATATTTGCAAGTAGTAAAACAATTAATTTGAGGCAGATGTACTGTATATACACACACACACACACACACACACACACACACACACACACACATTTGTAAAACGGAGAAACATGAACTCATATACTTTTGCATTTCGCAGCTGAAGATTTTCATTTTCTACTTTTTGGACTATTGCTTACATATGCCACATGACATATACGAGTACCACCTGCATAGATTATTTACACCACTTGGCCAATGGCACACATTTTTGAACATATAATTGTGGTACAAGTGCTTGAATATTTTGGTGTACATAAAGAGAAATCGTTGCACACACTTCTACATTATTTTTTTTTATTCAGATACTTATATAGCGCCGTCAATTTACGCAGCGCTTTACATATATATTGTACATTCACATCAGTCCCTAACCCTCAAGGGGCATACAATCTAAGGTCCCTAACTTACATTCATTCATACACATACTAGGGCCAATTTAGACAGGAGCCAATTAACCTACCAGCATGTCTTTTGCACAGCTGACACAATTCCACATAGAAGCTGTCTTTTAACATTGTTAATTTGGGGCCATTGGATAAAAATGGATACATTTACATTTTGTTTATTCTCTTTACATGTTTTTTTTTTCTCATGCACACTGGACATTTTTACAGCAGCTGTTTTTGGCTTTTGCTGTTTTTTCATACAGCCAGTACACTCCACAGCATCTTTTTCTATGTGTCCATGCACACATAGGCTTTAATCAACTTTTTTTTGCAAGGGGCGGTTTTTGACTGGAAAAAAAAACATAACTAGTGGGTTTCTAGACAAGTTTTTTTAGCTGTAAAAACACTCTAACACTGAAAAACGTGGTAAAACATGGCAAACTAGTGTTTTTGGGCTTTTTTTTTTAGCACACATTTTATTTATTTGTGTAACAAAACACTAAAAAATGCAAATGCGGCTAAACGCTAATGCATAAATGCTAAAAAAAACACTGGAAAAACATGCCACTTTACACAGCTAATGCTACCAGCATTATTAAAATGCCCAGCGTGCATGGAGCCTAAAAAGTTGTCTGTTATTTTGTTTATATTTTGTTTTAGGATTCATATAGTATCGATCTTAATAGGAACTCTTGTGATTGCTTTAAGGCCCCATATACATGGGACACTTCTGAATGATGGAAAGTGACTGCTGAAAAACGTCTGCTTAGCTACGTTTGCATAATGCGTTAATGCTCGTTTATTTGCGTTTAGAAGCGTTTTTTAAAGTTAAGCATAGGAGAACCTCCCAAATGCCCAGAATGCACTGAAAAGTGGTAAATTATTAACGGTTTCAGAGAGATACAGAGAGTAGAAGCAGAGGCAGAAGTATGTGTTGAAATTAGCTTAGGTGTGAGTTGCTCATTAACATTTCTTTTGTTTCCAAGGGTGGAAAAGGTGTCCAGTGGAGTGAGTCATTAAAGCCATCTGGCAGGGGGTCTGCTTGAGGAATTTGAGGTGTGAATGATCATTAACATATCTATTGTTTCCAAGAGTGGGAGAGGTCTCAGGTGTGAATTGGTCATTCCAATGTGTGACAAGCTTGATAGGAACATCCTGTTTTTAGTGTTTTGTGCATCTGAAAAAAGGCTCTGGACAGCATCAGGAACTGGAAGTGTTAAAAAAAAAAAAAAAAAAAAAAAAAAAAAAATCAGATGCAAATACTTATAAACGCGATTTGCCGCATTTAGAAGCGTTTTGCATTTGAAACACTGATAAAATCGACTGCTGAACGCAAGTTTTCTGCGTTCAAAAAAACGACTGTAAACTCAAATGCCTGTAAACGAAGATGTGTACATGGACACATAGGAAAACATTAGGGTGAGTTCAGGGGCTGCTGAAAAA